CACAGTAGTTTTTTCTAAGGTCTGCTGTTGGGAAGCACTGGAAAATTTCTGTTTGTACGCAACAAAAGGAAATTATACCATCTGTTTTTCATCTGTGACTTTCACTAGGTGACATGGATTTGAATTTCGGTTTAGTTTTACAGGACCTATGCACACTCTCTCTTTCTATTGACTTGAAAAGTTTTTGAATTCACTGTTTGTCCTCGTAGGTTATCTATTTCCCTCGTGTCATGAAGGTTGTGGATGTGCTTTCTATTTTGAGGAGCAACAATCACAATGGTTTCCCTGTAAGCTTCGGAGTTTGCTCTATCTTCTTAGCCGCTCGACTGACGAATTTTATTCTTCTTTTGCCTTCAAAGTCATTGATCACACAAGAAGTGGAGAACACTTGTAATTGGTCTTATATTGAGGAGGTTTTTACTGAATACCAGTTTTTTCGAATCTTTCTAATTACATCACATACTTTCTTTCAAAAACACAGGACATGAAAATCATTGTTTTCGTCCATTATTGCAGTCATTTGCTGGTACTTCTGCAGTCAAAGGTCGACTTTCAGCATAGTCCATTGCCGTTTAATTCAGGAGATGGACCCGTGCAAATCAGGTAAGTTGAGGGCAACAAAAAAATAACTTTCGGGTTTGCGTTTTTTATATAGTTAAAGAAAAAAAAATGTGAATAGTTTGTTGGCTTTTCGATATTGCAGGCATAATCTGACAGAATTTGTTAAGCCCGTTTCTAGTAAGGGGTTATCAATAGATGACATATTCCATCTGCTATTTTTTCGGTTATTTTGCTTTAATGTTCTGTGCTAATTTGCCAATATTAACTTGATCTACTACTTTTGCAGGACAATCAATCCACGAGTGNTGTATTACTCGATCTACCAATTTATCAGGAGTTGCTAAATACTGACATGATATTAAGAAATATTTATAAGCAAGATGAATCAACTCGGACGGACATCCATCGTCATCGTCATCACCATGATCCCATCTTTTAGGAATTAATATATTATATTTTATTTACTTAATATTTGGGGAAATTCATAAGTTTATATTACTTCACAAAAAGAATAAAATGCAAAAAGTGGGTTTACCAAATGTTCACACTTACAAATAAAAGTAAAAAAATGGCTGCTATTTTTTCATCTGAATCATTGAAAGAGGCAGTATTTTTTTTGGGTTTTGCAGAGACCCTCACGATGACAAACGACCGTCTAGGAGGAAAATGGCGGGTGAAGAAGCACTACTTGATCGTTTTCTTGAAGAAGATGAGATGAGATTTTTGCAGCTCCATTCTCCTTTAATTTAATTCTTTCCAGTTAACAATATCACTAACTCTTGTTATTGGTATCTAAAGTTGGTCAGTAAATATAGGAAGAGCATTAACAAGCGTGTTGTTATTTTAAGCTTTTCATCTTCTTTTTTGAGT